TTATTACATATAATACAATTTCACAGATAATAAAACCTACCACATTCTTTCATTTCCAAAAGTTGTTCAGCGGAGTGAATGTTATTAATTTGTATAAAATTTTCATCCATAAGTGAAGAAGTATTCAAATTGACTTTTTGGATACCTTCGTGTCATTCAGGTTCTCCATAGGCAAATATTAATGGATATTGAAGTGTATCATAGCAGCCATAATAGTAATTTAATTTATGTGTAGTGTTAGAATGTCCATAAATTAATATATCACGATTTTGAAGGCTTGCAGATGGGTCTTCATCAATTCAAACTGCGACCACTTGTTCACACGATGACATATTATACAGTCTTTGGTCAAGACCTGGATCACACATAAGCACAATATGACATGAATCAAAATTAGAAATTTCACTTAATGATCGAAAAAATGACAATATGGATTCATCTTTAAGACATCTATCAAATTTCTCAAAGTTGTTTCACATAACCTGTCAGAATTTTTTAGTCTATTAGTGATTTCATTATCAGTGTCATAGAAGTATAACTGTAAATATGCTGGTTTCCCATTAGTTGGTAACAATGAATTTATAAAATGATACACTTGTCCTTGAACTCTAAATGTATATATACCTTTATTATTTCTACATAAATTTTTATCATATTTAACACCAAAAGAAGTGAAAGCAAAATGATTGTTATATCTACGAGCAACTTTTTTAAAAGCAACTGCCTCACATGAAGTATAAGTAAATAGCTCAAACAATTCAGGAGGAATACTATTTACCTGTAATCTAACTTTTTCATCACAACAACAAAAGCTCTTACTTTCTTTATAAAATTCTTTTGCACCACATTATTTACAAATTGTAGATGATGGAAGAATATAATGTCTGACCGGAATATCTAGCAGATTTATTCGTTTGGAATCAACTCTTTTAGAATCAAGTAAAATATTAAGAATCTCTGATGTTTCATTTTCTTTTTCATTTTCAAGACAAATAATTCCATCCTTGTATAAGACAATACAATCATCAATAGAACCTAAAAACATAAAAATAAGATTGATGAAAGATAACATAAACAATTCAAAAAAAAGAAGGGAAAAACACAAGTAAACGAACGTAAAAAAAAAACCAAAACCTGTTTTGAAAGTTACGACATCTAGTTCGCTTTTTTGTGCATAACATGTAGTAACTTTCAGAATACCAAATATGTATGTTAAAATTATGTAGAAAATGGAATAAAAAAATGAACGAATAATCATACCTAAAACCCTTTTACGCAATTTGTCTTCTTTTACCATTGGTTGAAGTTGAAAATCTTGTGTTTGTATGGATGCAGTTCTTGAATGAGCATGTTTATTTTTAAACCAATTAAAAATATTCTTATCACAAATTTGGCCATATAACAACAACTCAAAGACTATTTGTGGGATTTTCGATTTGTTTGGAGTTGTGTTGCCTTGATGAAATATAGATTCAAGAACTTGGAGTTGGGAAAATGTAGGTATCCATCCACCCATTATGACTATGAAAGCAAGCAAGTTATGACAACAAACAAGTCAACTACAAGATATGCAAAGCCTAAAACTTAAAACAGAAAAATTAATAAAATATATTATCCTGACAAAGAAAATAAAAAAAATATTATTATTATGCTAACTTCAAGAAATATAGACTATCCATAGCTATGCATAGATAAGCCACCATACTTCAAATATTTATCAAAGTGTGCATAGATATCATATTTCAATTATTTATTTCAACACAAACATGCCTAATGAATAAAAACAAATATAATAGGGGAAAATCTAAACAAAATTTGAGAGGAAGAGTTAGATTATGTGTTTTTTCACGTTATATAACATGTATTTATTAGCAAGAAATCATCTAAATTTTTTTGACGAGATTAGTTAATTTGAGATAGATGTTTTTAATTTTATTTGATTAGATGACGTTTATGCATGAATTTGATAACCAGGTTCTTGTTCTTGCATTATGTTCTTTGAAATTCATAATTGATTAGTGGAAAGTATTGCTTCGTTAAAAACTCAGGTTGCTTTTGCTTGGCTACTTATAAACCTCTATCTTTTTATTATTTCCAAAAACATGTTAAAAGGCGAAAGGAAAAAAGAAAAGAAAAAACAATGCAACCTCCGTGCACAAAGGACATTAGACCTCCGTGCACGAAGCTAAGCCTCCGGCCATATATATTTTATTTTTTAAAAATGTTTTTGGAAATAATAAGAAGACAGTCTTTTCAATAAAAAATTGTCTATTCTAACACCGTAAATCTCTTGTCAAATCTAATTCAAAAGGCAAAATACACTTTTTTTAGCTTAAATACCTCCATTTTCACCAGATTTTTTTTCCATTCAACTCATCCATACTTCAAATATATTTTATAAGGGAGTGCCACGGGTAACCTTATAAAAAGGAATCAGATTCAAATTTATGTGTCATAGGTGGTAAAAAAAAAAGAAAAAAAAAAGGGATCTATTTATGATTCTTAAGAAAGATTTATAGAAAACTAACGAAAGTACTGAGTAGGATTAAAGTTATTAAAAGTTAAAAGCAAAACAGCCTATTAAAACAGTTGCCTCTTAACAACAACCAGTTGAAACAAATTTGTGCGCAGTATTCGGATCCATGATTCTCTGCATCACAATTGGGACATTACCACAAATTTAAGACCAAGCGACGTAATAAGGTGTCTCGCCATAGGTTGGGTCTGATTTGTTATGGAAAAACAACTACAAATGGGCGATAGATGCGTTTTCCAACTAATTAACAACGAAAGACTAATGTTTATGGTCTACAAAAAAGATCACACTGGAAGTTTGACACATCTATAAAACTTTCAACTTGTTGTAACTTTTGATTCTACTAATATACTTTATGTTGACGTGCATTATATATATCCACAGCAATTAATATAAAACCAATTTCAAAGTTTGGAGCTTCCAAACCTCAACAAATTCATCAAAATCTGCACGTGAAAAAAATACACAAATAATAAAAGCATGAGAAAAATACGAATGAATTTATACATAAACAAAAAAATAAACGATTTTGCTAGTGGTACATTGGGGTGTACCTAATGGTGTACACCACACTTACATGGGCGAGTGACTCACTTAAATAAAATATCATTTCTTTCACATGCGTCCCACACCCATGTGAGTGGGGTGTACACCATTCGGTACACTCCATTATGATAAAATAGGTAACAAAAAAAGAAGAAGAAAACACATTAATTTTTTATGAAAAGAGAAAATAGAAGAAGAAATTTTTTTGTTAAAATATATAATAAAAAAATTGCAAAAGAAAGTTATGAAAATTAAATAAAGATTAGTATAAATACAATCTAGTAAACTGGAAACAAAATTTATATCTCTAAGAAGGCCAAGAGCTTATATATATAATTTTTTCCCTCTTTTTTTAAGCTCATATCTCATATCTAAGTAAGCACAACAATTTATTTATATTTTTTTTTCTCTTTATCTTATTATTACTATTATATAGTAAGCAGACAAATATAAAATGAAATCCAAAAAAGTTTTTATAAAGTTTTTAAATTAAATTGAAATAATTTAAAGTAAAAATAAATATTATTTAATTAAAATTGAAACAATCGCGTTTAAAACGAAACGAATAAAAAAAATTTAAATCGAAAAAATAAAATTTAAAACAATTTTCAAACAAAATTTAGAAATAATATTTTTTGAGTGAAGAGATAAGATTGGTGGCATTAAAAGTTGCGTGTTGTATATAAAATATATACTAAGACAAACAACGTCATTTTTGCTCACTCATTTGAAAAAAAAAATTTTAAATGTTACATTGAGACAAAATGGAATTATATTGAAATAATTAAAACTAAAAGTAAATATTATTTAATTAAAATTAAAAATTCCAGCAAAAAGAATAAAAAAATTTTAAATCGAAAAATAAATTTTAAAACTATTTTCAAACAAAATTTAATAAAAACGAAATAAAAGAAAGTTATGAAAATTTAAAAAAAAATATAAATATTATATATTTAGTTAAAATTGGAAAAGTAAGTTTTAAACTTTAAATTAAAAAAAAAAATAAGGAGACAAAGCCTCCTTGCATGGAGAGTTAGAGAAAAATTAATTTTTTTTTAAAACTAATATATTTTTACATATAATAACTAACTACAATCATAATTTTTTTTAACTTAAAATAAAAAGCTTGAAACAAATTTTGAGCTAGAATTAAGTCTTTATATTTTAGAAATATACTGAGATAAGATCGGTGGCATGGAAAGTTGCGTGTTACAGTAAATTTGGAGGTAGTGTATAATAAAATATATATTAAGACAAATGACGTCGTTTTTGCTCACCCACTCGAAAAAAAATTAAAAATGCTATAGTGAGACAAAATGAATTAAGTCACTATTCACTTCTACAGTAATTTCACATTCTCTTTTTTATATAGTAGAGATAGGAAAAATGAAAATATAAACGGAATAGCAAATGAGACACTTGTCCCATACCACCTTGCATTAAGTATGGATTAAGGTTGAAAATCACCGACATGACGAAGAATATTGTTATGCTCTCATTTGATTTTCATTATTTGGTTACAAAAATGAAAAAAATGATCATTATTCATTATATCAAGCCATCATATTTGATTTTTCATATTTTGTGTGGATCTCATAACGATTATATTTTTTATTTTCATTATTAAAAAAATGAGAATCAAACGAAGCCATATAACTTTTGATGGGGTCAAAGTCAAAATTTTAGTAAATTTTAATGAAAGTTGATAAAATATATGATTGAAAAATTATAAATTTTATAAAATAAATGGTTAAAATTAAATGTTAATTTTAATTGACATTAAAATCTAAATTTTAATTTCTGTCAAAACCTGGTTAGATAATAAAAAATATGCATAAATTTGAGTGCATAAGATAAAGTAGATAAAAATTCATAAATTGAGTAAGTACAGTGAACCTCGCCGCTTAGGATTCCCCTGCCCAAATTTCCATTAAGTCTTCAATTGAGTTGTTGACGTCGGTTGACTACAATTCCTTCAAAGTCAAACTTAACCCCACCTTATTTCCAAATTCTGAAAATGCCCTTCCCACCCGGCGGCGGCGGCACAGTCGCCTCCTCCTCAACGTACACTACAATCCCTATCTCCATTTCTGATGTCATTTCACGATCAATCCACAACCTGTCGGCTTTCCTTTCGCGCTGCCGCCCTTGGCCGGAATTCCTTGCCACTACTTCCGCCATCGACATTCCCTCCTCCATGTCCGACGCCGGCCTCCGTCTCCGCCGGAACGCTAACTACTTCTCGGTCAACTACTCCATCATCATTTCCGCCTGCGCCGCCGTTTCTCTTATTGGTGCTCCTATTGCGCTTTTAATTATCTTTTCTGTTTACTTTATGTGGTTGATTCTCCATTTCTTCCGGGAAGATCCGTTGCTAATCTGGGGCTGCCATGTAAGCGATCGGGCCATTGTTGTGAGCCTGGTATTGGTCTCCATAGCGGCCATTTGGTTCACGGGAGCATTGAATAATCTTTGGATTAGCATTGGGATAGGGCTCTTGGTTTCCGCCATTCATGGGGTTTTGAGAACACCAGAGGGGATTTTTCTTGACGAAAGCGATGCCGTTTCTAACGGTTTGATCGCATCAAAATCTACACTTTCGAGTCCTCATGGTGGTGGAATTTCCTATAATCTGCCTTTGTAACTAGCACTCCCAAATTGGTTTGCTTTTGCATTTTGTACTTTCAGTGTGAATATGATTTTTCTGAGTGGTTGAGAAGATACATTGCGTTGAATTGAAGAAAATGATTTTTGGAAGAAGATATTGTTTGTATGTTTGAGTCTCTTGAATTTGCAGCATGTTTGGCAGTGCTTAAAAGCGGCTGTTTTAGCTTCTTTTCTCAACATGTCTTGGATTTTTTCTCGTGCGGGTATTGACTTTTATTTCTGTAAAGTTGCTTTGTGAGGTTTTCTTATTTTATCTTTTATGACAAAACTGTATTTTGTGGTTTTCAGTGTTATTGCTGGAATGTGACTTCTGCTTAGGCTCAAAGCGAAATGTGTGTTGATGTTTCAGTTGTCAATACAGGCTCAATGTTGAACTTTATGGAGCTGTAAACCATGATAATATGAAAGTACATGATAGATCTGTGCACATACATCATGTATGTGTGTATGCAGCAGTTTGAGATTTTGTCGGGTGATTATTTGACATTGTGGCTCATATAAGTTGATCGGAAACCACTTTCTAGAACTACTTGTATAATTCAAATGCTGGTACTGTGTAGCAGTGTCGTAAAGATACTATATCAATGAAGGATTAGAACGCTAGAGTTTAGATAAGACTTATAAAAACATTAATGCCTGTTTGGTACATTGTACTAGAGAGGACAAAGATGGTATTGAATAAGAAAAATAACATTAAATCTTGTCATAGTAATGTCTAGTCCCATCGCGTACTGCGTACCAAACATGTTGTACGTGCAAATAACTAGTGGTGTTGTATGATTAATGTTTGAACAAAGTTGCTGATGTTAATGTGATATAACATCACATCTTACTCCTCATCCTGACTAATTTGGCCAATAGCTCTTGAGCAGCTAATGTTTGAGCATGATTGTGGCCTAGCGTCACTGTCCTGATACTGATGCAGGTTCTACAAAGCTCTTCACTGCTGTCGAAATGGCCACCTCTCAGCAGGAATTTTGCTTTCGTCTCGAGAAGCGTAGCTTTCAGCAAGGTCACTTCTTGCCATACGTGCTCGTCCACTCTTTGATTTGGTTGTTGTGGGTTTTTCCAGCAAATAGAATCGTGACACCAATCCTGTATCTGGAACGCAAATGACTTCTCCAATTCTTCAAGTGTGTTGGTGGAGACTTTCAGAAGCTCTAAGGCTGAGGTACACATTGAGAAGTTTGTGAAATCTCTTATAGCTAAAGGCAGAGCTGCTTTCTAATGAAGAGAACTGTGTCAATTGGCTTGAGCTGGACGAGTGGGGGTTCGGATTTGAAGCCGAAGACTAGGAAAGCAGAAGCCCATAGGTGATCGGATTTTGCCAGTGGATTCCCGGTTTTCCTTATGCCCTGAACTGTTGCCTTCGCAGCTACTAATCCGTCTTTTCTTTTTGCAAATGTTTGAGCTATGGGGTGGAACTGAATCCAACATCCAGGCTCCCTATTGGATTTTCGAGCCAAACCAAGTTTAACCAAGAGAAGGGCTGGATCTTCTTCACTCATCCAAATTTGGCTTGCAAAGCAAACTGAACGACAGAAATTGAGTTTCAGGCGTTTTGTCCACTTTCTCAATTTGTTTCCTGTAGATGGTATGTTATTTGCTACTGCGGTCAGTAGATTTGCCGGTATAGGTGCTGGGGCAAACCATGCTCCAGCCTGTAGCATTCTAAATGCAAGGAGGTTCCGAACCCCCTTTGTTTGGTGCAATACAGCAGCACAAAAGGACAGAACTTTCATTAGGAAAAGATTGGTTCTTAAAAATTGTTGATCTGCATTGTCCAAATTTAAGCAGTCACTGTCTTCTTCGTGTTGTGTCTGATTCACAGCCTCAAAAAGAGCAGATGGGGGTAATCGTAAGTTTAGAAAGCAAGGAACCAACTACCCACAATCCAAAACTCGACCTCCCCAATTTATCATTAAACTTTTCAAGAAATTATAGCTCTGAAGTGGGATAATCATTTTTCCTTCTTCCTCTAAGCAATGTCATTGCATCTGAAAAAGGCAATGGTAGAAGCTGCAAAGGGTCACAGTTCATTACTCTAGCGAGCCTTCTTGTGATAATTACATGGGTGCCTCCTGTGTTCCTTCTTATAAAGTCATGTAGATCTTTCCCTTCCCACCATTCTCTCTCAGTCTCTAAATTATCAATAATCAGTAAATAGGGCATGTCCCTGAACAGCTCCCCTTTAACTCTCTTTAATGCTTCAGTTTCTTGTTCGTCAAAGCTCCGGGTCCTTCCTCTTTCATTCTCTGCTTCTGCACTCACGTCCAACCCCATATTGACAGATAATTTCAGTATATTTTGCCTGAAATACTGAGCTTGGCCACCAATCCACAAAACCATTTTGTATCTTTGGGCGTTCCTGTAGGCAAATTCCAATGCTAGATCTGTCTTTCCAGTTCCCGGGGATCCATTTATGCATATAACACTGCTTCCAAAGCTCTTATATTTCCTGCTTTTTGACTTTCTATGTTTAGGCCTCTTCAGCGAATTTCTTCCCAATACTGGTTCAACCGGAGCCCCTGAATTTGGTTCCTTCAACATCGGCCATTCTTGCTACAAATAATCCCCATAACCAAAGAATGTAGTCTCAATTTCCATAATTTCTTTCTCCCTCCCCACAAAGTACATGTTTCTCGGGAATGGCAACTCCTCAAACATCTCTACTTCCTTATCGGCCACACTCTTCCTCCCAAGCTTTGCGCTTGGTATCCCGGGAGCCTAAAGTTTCGGCTCGGGCTCGGCCCGGTTAAAATGATCGAGCTTTTTTACGAGCTCGAGCCGGGCTGAGAAAAAAATAGGCTCGGCCCAAGCTTTTGCTCGGGCTTTTTACGGGCCGAGCCGGGCATGCTTGTTTTCTTCCCTTTTTTTTTCTCCTGCTGCCTTATATTAAGGCAGCAGTTTTGCTGCCTTGAAGGAAGCAACCACTGCCTTTAAAAGGCAGCAGTTCGCTGCCTTAAAAGGCAGCGAACTGCTGCCTTTGAAAGGCAGTAGTCGCTGCCTTTGAAAGGTTCAAGGCAGCAAAACTGCTGCCTTTTAAGGCAGCTGAAGAAAGAAAGAAAAAAAAAAAAAAAAAAAAAAAAAAAAAAAAAAGGGGGGGAAAAAAAAAAAAAAAAAAGGGGGGGGGGGGGGGGGGGGGGGGGACGACGAGTGGAGACTTAAATGGAGACGATGCAAGAAAATTTGTAAACGAGTTCTTTGAAAGTGAATTTGGAGTTGAGGGGACGTTGTCGGCTAGAATTTCCTTACCAGCACTTGCCACCTTGATGGTGAGAGACTTGATATTAACGGCCAGGACCTCTTTTTGAGGTTCTGCAGACTGTCTTGCTTCTTCGTCCATGTTTGACTAATTAATGAGGGCACAAAACTTGCTTTTGGTGGTTTTCGAAGTTGCGAAGGTTTTCAGGAAGGCAAGAAAATGCTTGATACTGGGAGCAGATGAAGTCCCATACCATATATTCCAGAAGCGTTCACTAAAACCATTTTGGACAGATTAGCGTCATAAAAAACTGAACTCTAATTTATGCTGACAGGTGGAATTTATTGTGTGGCTATGACAGAGGATTCTTCAGAAGATGGATGCGACAGTAAATACTTTTAAACAGCAGGAGATCCTACATGTGAAATTTAGAAGGCAAGAAAATGCTTGATACTGGGAGCAGATGAAGTCCCATACCATATATTCCAGAAGCGTTCACTAAAACCATTTTGGACAGATTAGCGTCATAAAAAACTGAACTCTAATTTATGCTGACAGGTGGAATTTATTGTGTGGCTATGACAGAGGATTCTTCAGAAGATGGATGCGACAGTAAATACTTTTAAACAGCAGGAGATCCTACATGTGAAATTTATGTATCATCTTCTTCTACAGTGGGCCCTCAAAAAAGTCGAAAGTAGACCTCAATTTTTTTCATGTCTGGATCAGACAATCAATGCAAATATAGGAAAAAATAAATAAATAAATAAAATCGAAACATAGATACAAAAACTGTATATCTTCCAATCAAGAAAGTTTCTGTTTTTGATCCATCATTTTGATAAGATAAACAAAAGTACACTTCAAGGCTGAACCAAGCAAAGTTTCACAGCGCTTGTCAACTTACCACAACCATCCGCTTTTTTTCGAGCTTGAAACTGATTGGTTTAGTTTACTTGACTATAAAAATACATACGAGAAGGCAAATCGGGAAGAACAGATTAAATGATCTTCTCATTTTCTTTCATGAAGCGGGTGTACTAAGATGGGATGATCCAATATGTGGGTTGGATCTATGAGGATTGGACAATATAATGTTGTATAAATGCTTTAAAAAGAAGCAGAGGAGTGTAAATGGTGCATATTTTAATGTTGCTAGTTTAAGGGTTTGTCTTAGGTTTGGGATACTAGCTTTTGTTTCTTGTGTTGTGAGATTATATTAAATGAATTTTAAAGGCAATAAATTAAGCATAATTTCTATCTAATCACATATCCTAAGGATTGCTCAGACATTGAAAAAATACTATGGGAGAGGAAGGATGAACTTAGACCTTTTCTGTTTGTCGTAAATGGGCAGTAATGTCGATGTTTGGCACACAGTTTGTACATTAATGTAAAGAAGATGCAATATCAAAATCAATTACATATTACTAAAAAAATTTATTGTCAAAATTACGTTGACAATAATCTCCACATGTCATCATCTATGGTGCAACGAGACACAGCCCATCAACAATGAGGCCCTATTTGGCTTATTGGTCAACGAGTTAGGCCAGGTCTGTCCCATTGATCAAGGGGGTCGGCCCTGCCTCTATAGGGCCTAGCTCAACTGCCTCGTTAGTCTTCTTTTTAGAAAAATTTTTAAAAAAGCAAAATAAAAATAATTACGAAATAAACAACTCTATTTTTTTTCCAAGTTTGGGATTGATTACTTTTAAACATCAACAAAATTAAAATTGTTTACATAAAGAATTATCGGTCGACCCTATGAACGGGCATAGACCCGCGTATTGACACGTGAAAGTGGATGAGAGAATCTTCAGTAGGGCAGTTGCACCTCGTGATGGTACGAGGTGCGACCGCCCTATCAGAAGGCCCCACCTCGATGGGTAGCCCATCACACCCCTCCGAGGTGTGTGAGTCACCATCGAGGTGGAGCCTTGGCATTGGGTGGGCGCCCCACTAAAGATTCGAGGGCTCTACTTAGAATTCGGTA